ACATAGAAAATTACAAACATAAATTTATTACAAAACAATTTACTATTCGTCTACATTTTGTGCGTGTGAAAGTGATTTGAAGAAATCATGATGTTCTGGTGGTATGTATCGTAATAGGTCAATTATGTCCTTAAATTTTGCTGTTGTAATTTGTCTAATAGTTTTATACAATGGTGTCAATACAATATTTTCGAACTTTCTTGGTCTGCCCCGACGTGGTAATAAATTCAGGACTTTAAAATTTTCATCCTCATTCATTGATGTCTTATATAAAATTTTATATGGTTCATTTCTGACAAAACGCATCCAACATATTCTTAACCAGTTTACTGATTCTCCATCAGAATTCTTTGCCCTTTTAAAAATTGCGTCTTCTAATAATTTTGTTGATACAAAATCTTCCTGTCTCATTTCATTTACAATGAAATTATTACCCTTCCGACACTTTTTAATAATCTTGTAATAATCCTGGGGAACGAACAGTAAATTGTTTTTTTTATGCAATTTCTACCACGCCAAAATCTCTATCATTTGGTAAAAACGAATGTCCTGATATTAAAAATTTATGATCTATGATTTCCACATTATTATCTAAATTTTGGACAATTTTTAACCACATTAAAGCTACTTTAATGTTTCTATTTTGCCCGGTGCACATGTCACTGTAAGCTATAATGTGTCTTTCACTTCTTAAATTTTTAATATGTTTTAAGATGCATGAAACAACTTCTTGAGCACCTCTTGATGCAATAGTTTCATCCCAAACGTACATGTAAACATTATCGTTATGAAAATTGTGTATACCAAAATTTAGAATATACATATTGCGTTTGTAATATGCTACTGAGGTAGTTAGCTTGGGATACGGTAATGCTTTTTGCAAGTCGAATGAGAAAGCAAAATAATAATCCGAATTACGTGATACTTGCTCCATGTTTTACTGTAGGAATAATATGCTTCTGATTTAATTCGGTGTTCGGTTTCCTCTATACAAATCTTTTTCCATCAAAGCCGAAAAGATTAAATTTGCTCTCATCTGAGAAAATAACCGTCTTCCAAAACTCAATTGTCTTACTTGCCTATATTTTTGCAAATCCGAGCCGTTTCTCCCTATTCTTTTCATTAATGAACGGTTTTTTCTCGCTGCTCTACCATAAATTTCCGTATACCTTGATCCGATTTCTATTGCGAAACTTCTTCTCTTTGATGTAGAAGGGACCGCAATAGTCAACTCCTACGTTGTTTAACCCTTTCGCTACCGGGCGGGTTCTCCGCCGCGGTACTTCAGCTGAACGGAGTGCCGCGACATCACTGCACGCTACGCGATGCGCGATGTCAGCGAGAGTACCGCGGCGGAGAACCCAAGCGGCTTGAATGTTTTCGGACGAAAAAATGTTTCTTCAAAGGGTATTTATAAATAAAGAGAAATATAATTAGAGCATTATGCAATATAATATAATATAATAAAACAATATAAGATATTATAACGTAATTCTACAAATAATTCAACACAACATAATACAATTCTAATAATATAACTGCGTATGATAGTTTTTAAAGCATGGTGTTACACACAGGCCAACGTTGCAAATTTCGCATTGGTATCGCGATCTCTTTTTCTTGTCATTTCTTGAACAAACTACACACCTTCGCAGCTGATTTTTCCGTCTTGGATTTACATTTGTGTATAGCGACGGGAAGTGGTTTCCAGCGAGGCGAAGTGGATTCGTTTCCCCTGATTTATTTGCAATGTTATTCTTACTGTCAGACTGATAACGACTTAAAAGTTGTCGAATTAGTTCTAGGTGAAATTTTGCCATTGATATTTGTCTTCCAGTTTTTAACTTATATAAGCAATAAGCATTCCAAATGCATATATCCATTAAGTGAAAAAAATATTTTTTATACCATTTCAATGTTTTGCGTTCTGAATGAATGGTGCTGATGACCATATCGGTTTTATCAACAGTTCCCATTAATTTATTGTAATCAACAACGCACTTTGGCTTCATAATCATTTCTCGAGTCCGATAATGACGTTTCGTTTCAACGAATTCTTCGTTATGGAAAGAAGATAGCATGTATACGTCTCTCTTATCACTCCATCTCATCGCTAATAAATACTTGGAGGAGCGAAAACTTGCTTCACCAGTTTTTAATTTATTTTGGATAAGTGCCATGCCTTTCCGCCTTTTCCGTACCGTTCCACAA